ATTTGAAAGTATGCTCACCTTGCTTATTTACTCGCTGGCGACGTACATCATTAAGCCGCAGAAGAAGAAAACGTGGTGCACGGATACGACAACATAATGAGGATCTAATCCTATTGATGTGGCACAAAATTTTATCACAATACTAGCCGGGCCCGGCCACGCGTTGCTGTGGCTCAGGTTAATTCAAAATCTCTGTTGGATAATTAGCCTGTGTCGTCTGCTTCTGCAACAGTATCGACGTACGTGTATGTGACTGCCTCGCTTTGAATCTTAGACGTAATAATTTGGTTAAGATGGTACATGTGTTTGTTTTTTGCCGCAAGAATAGCTCGTTCGCTCAATCAGTCGTGATTGTTGAAAGTGGTCTGAATAGTGGGAAACACCTTTTCAACCAACTCCTCTTTTGTGGACATTAAATTGCCGAGGCTAAGACGTAGGGAAATCCTTCTTGTAGTGGGATCAGTGGACCCCGTTGCATTCCCAGTTGCCAGCAATTAATATGAGAATACATCAGCTGATCGGTGGTTTTGCAGCTGGACACGCATGCTTTTACCGTCTGGATTTGGCGCCACAGAGAAAAATATTTCAGACGCATTTATTTCGTCTGCTGTTGCCGATGGAGGAATTACAGGCAGTGTTTGCCTGAAGTCTCCTGCAAGCAGTAGCAGTAATGTCTCCAAATGGTCTGCTGTTTACACGCACATCTTGCAGTGTTCGATCGAGAGCCTCGAGCGTTTTTTTGCTCACGGCGCAAATCCACATCTAACGAAACAGAAGAAGACCGGTTTGATGAGGGCATTCCCGGTTGATTCGGAATTGATTTCGGAAATTCTTACGTACATATCCCCAATCACTATTAACGCCTCGGTGTAGATTCCTGCTGTGAAATCCGCATTTGCAATTTTCCTTGCATAGTTGACGGAAGGTATCTTCAGCCATGTGCGATTTATATTTCTCCCACAAATTAGTTGGAGATGAAGTAAAGCAGGCGGTCAGTAAGATTGCAAGCAATGAGCGATTCGATGTGGATGGGACGCGTTGCAAGCAACACAAATACATACATCCCGATATCCGTAGTTTTCCAATAAATTGAGAGCCTGGCATGCACTGCGAAAAGTGGCGTGCGTAACGCCGTTAACATATTTCAAATACTGGAAAGACGTTGAACCGGACACATTCACCAACACCGTGTGGAGTAAGAACCATTCGTCCTGATTGGAATGCACGGTGCGCAGTCTGCCTATTGCAGTTCTTTGAGTATACCGGGGTGTCTGTCCACTCGCTCTTCTCGTTTGCGTCGTACAAAAGATGTTCTGCACGCATTCCCTGTAGGCACTTTCGAA